GGGGGGGGGGGGGGGGGGGGAAGTGGATGGGCAGCTTACTGTTTTCGGTTCTTGACGTTGCCCCGTGCGTCGAGATGCTTGTTGTTCTGCATCCCGCCCAGCTGCACACATCGCGCCGCACCAACACCACACACACACACAGACCCCCCATAATGTGTCCATTCTTCTCACTCCTCCACCATCCAGGTGATCTTCTTTCTACCCACTGACCTGAGGTTTCTTGATGGCCTTGCCGTTGACCTTCTCGCCCTTCTTATTGCCGCCAAACACGCCAGCCGCACCAATGGCCGCACCCTTGCCTCTGCCCTTGCCCTTGTTGCCCTGCTTGGCCTTGGGCTTGGCTTTGGGTTTGGCTTTGGCTGCTGCCGGTGGCTTCTTGGGTTCGCGCTTCTTGCCCGCGTCAAACTCAGAGTCACTACTATCGTCACCACCTGTTGGGCGGCCAAAGACACAGACAGCAAGGTGACCTGTCTGTCCATTGCCTGGGGATGTGTGTGTGTGTGTGTGTGTGTGAATGGGTACCCTACCCACCTGCTGCTTCCATGTAATCATCCTCCCCGTCTGCATCGTCCCTATCCGCCTTCCTCCTCTCGTCGCGCGACGCCCACCCCTCACCCTCACCACTACCCGCCCCCCTGGAAGCAGCCGCCTTGGCAGCCCGCTTTGGCTGCACGCGTCGCGACGCCACGCCAGCCCCCTCAGACGCACCATCCCCACCCCCACCATCCTCGCTGCCCACACCTCGGCGCTTCTTGCCCTTGCCCTTCGCCTTGTTGTCCTTCTTGGGCGGTGGTGGTGGGTGTTTGTCAGCCACTGCAGCTGGAGTTGGGGCTGGTAGGGCCGGTGGTGGTGCCAGCGGTGCGGGTGGTGCCGCCTGACCCTCGGCGCCCTCATGGTCATCAGGACACGAGCCCAACAGCAGCCACTCTTCGAGCGCACTGACCTTGCGTGGTCCACCACCTGCTGCTGCGCTCTTCTCGACCACGACCCTCTGGTCGCGGCCGGCGTGCTCCTGCTGGTTGTTGATGGGAGCGACAGCAGGCCCGGCACCAACACGAGCAGCCGCGGGGATGACGGCCGGCTGCTCCACACCAGCAACTGCAGGCTCCGCTGCACTGCGGCGGTCCTGACCGTTGCCACCCTCCCTCGTCATTGGCACTGCTCGAGAGGGAGCGCGCTCGCGGCGGAAGCGCTTGGGTGGGGGAGGGCTTGGTGGACGGCGAGAGGGCTCCTTCTCTTGGGGTGCGTCGGGAGGGGGAGGGGCCGGCGGCTGACGTCGTTTCTGTCGGCGCCCTGACACGGGGTCATCAGGGTTGCCTGGATGCAGCCGCTGCCACTCAAGTAGGTTGAAGGGACAAGGCTTCACAACCGCACTCTCGTCACGCGATGCACCACCACGACCACCACCATGGGCACCGCCAGCAGCAGAAGCAGCAGCGTCGGCCTTGCTGCCCGGGTGGCAGCGGAAGCCAGTCGACGGCACGTACTTCTTCTGTGGCTGTGAGAGTGAATGGCACACACAGAGGAGAAGACAACAATGGTGGGTGATTTGTGCGTGTGTGTGCGTCCATTGAGTGCTGGTGTGGTGGCTGACCCACCGATTCCTCAGTTGGCCATATCTGCGGGTTGCAGTTCTTGATGGCGAGCCGGCGCTTGGCGAGCATGTCGGTGGGCTTCCGCCGGTACTCGCGCGACGCGATGTCATCACGGATACAGTCGTCCAGCTTGCCCTTGCGCAGAAGGTACATCTGCTCCTCCTCAACCTCACGGCTCTTCGCCACCTGACGCCGCAACCTGCATGCCATGCATCGATGCACATCAGATCACACAAGGGTCACGTCACATTTATGTGGTGCTCAGGTGCTCACTCACTTGCGATTTTCGTGTCGGTTGAGGTACTTCTGGTAGGCGTGCAGCCTGGCCTGCATCTCCTTCTGGATGGCGGCGACCTCCTCCTCGGGCTTCGACGCATACTCCATGAAGGGGTCGGGGCTGCGGGGCGGCGTGTGCACCATACAGTGGCCCTCGAACTCCTCAGCCTCCTGTGTATACAAACAGAACGAGAGAAAGGCAAGGCAAGGTCAACGAGTTAAGCGTGTCTGGCTTGACCTGCCTCAAGAACCGGACTACCTACCTTGAGAGCGAGGTTGAGTCGCCGCAGGCACTCGGCATACTGATCTGGCCGATCAGCCCTGACCTGCGACCACCCCATCCCGGCCGCCTGCTGACTGATCTGGCGTTTGAGCTCATTGTACTTGGCCACCTGACGCTTCCTCTCTGCCATAGTGAAGGGACGGTCGGCCTTGGCAGCCCTGGCTGCTGCCTCCTCCTCCACCCTCTGTCTGTTCTTCTCCTGCTCTTGCTGCTGCCGCTGCTGTTCCTGCTGTTCCTGCTGCTTGCGAACCCTCTCCTGCCTCTCCTGCTCCTCTTTCGCCCATTGGAGCTGCACGGGGTGGTCGGCCCGGGTGAAGGGATTTGTCAGGCGGGCGCAGCGCGACCGCGGCGGGCAGCTGGGCAGGTACGACAACTCCTCGTGCTGCTGATGCGGGACTGAGGCATCACGATGGTCAGCAGGGCGAGCAGAGGGGTGGGGAGGGTTCTCCTGCTGCCTGGTGTTGTGGGGTGTGGCGGGGTGACTGCCATCATTGGCAGTCGGCATGGCCTGCCGATAGACAAGACGACTCGCGCAGCGGACTCAAGAATGATGGGTCACTACAGTACCTGCATCGGATGCATCACCACAGACAGACAGACAGCATTGGGACAGAACGAATGAGAATGAACGCATTAAGAATGCATCCGTCGGCATTTCATGCATGCGTCTGTGGGTGCACTGGTCGCATGGAGGTCCTGCCTGGCCTGCACGGGCCTGCCCTTCCCATGGCATGGCATGGCATGTACATCAATTGATGCACATCCGACGGATGCATTCCACATCATCATGACGGTGCCATCACGTCAGAGCCGTCATGCACGTCTTACTTGGATACGGGGCTCTCCACTCGGTAAGACGACGACTATTTGAATGCGGAAAGCTTCACAACACAGAGACGGGCTTGCAGGGCGTCCGTGAAACGCACTGCGAGCTTGACACTCAAGGACGCGTTCAGAATGAGCCCACACACACCGCGTTCGAGGGAAACAGAGAAGAGGGGGAGACGGAAATAGAGAGGAGATGCCCATCTGAACCGACAAAGGTGGAGATCTGCCCACTTAATTGCACATATATGCTTCACTCACTCTGCTGATCTCTCCCTCTTGCAGCCAGCGGTACAGTACACATCTGAGGACCGGCCATCCATCGAATGCATGGGAGGTACGTCGGCCCTGCGGTACGGCACCACACGCACAGCTGCACTGCACGTGTATCGAGGGATGCAGGCAGGCAGGCAGGCAGGCAGGCAGGCCACACGGCGGGTGCTTGTCCTTTGTGTGTGTGGTGCAGGGTGCAATTCTTGTTGTTGCCTGCCCTGGCTTGACGTCAGTGACGCCAGCGCGGCCACTCGAGAGCTGGCCTGTGGCATCAGGAATGGAAGCCTTACGCTCCAGAGGGCCACACACCTGCTGGACAAAGGCGCCGACGCCACACAGATTGTGAGGAGACGCGATTTGAATGACGACTGCGGCCTGGTCCAGCTGGCTGTCTGGTTTCACAAGACGGCTGAGAATTTGGCCATCATCCGGCTGCTGCTAGACCGAGGCGCTGACATTGACTATTCCACCACGCTGCATTACGCCCCCTATCACACTCGCCCTCGAATCTGGCCGTTACGACGTTGCCCATCTGCTGCTGGACCAGCCCAACCTGGAGATGAGACGGCTGTCGCTGCTGGGGACGGTGGCACTTCATCCAATCCCTGTCTTTGATCATCCGGTGTTTTATGGCCGCCTTGTGTCGTCTGGGGAGAAGCTCAAGATGGCCAAGAGGCTCGCCAAAGTCGGCGGAGCGGAGATCATCAAGAACAGCTGGTCCATATGCCTCCTCTGTGAGCATCCTCTCCGGGACCCCTCCCATCATCTCGAGCGGCGGAAGACCGTCGTGGACAGGACCACTCTCAAGCTGGTCTGCGCTGCCTCTTAGTGATTAGTGAGCGTTTACATCCCCCTCTCTTTGCATGTTCTGGCCGTGACAAACACATGTGGAGCTATTCAGATGGAGAATGCAACCACGCATCAGCTCTCGAGCTCATCGCTTACCTCAGCCACTCGGCCGGGCGGAACTTTGTCAAGCGGGCTCTCTATTCTTCAGCTTGTTCCGAGCGCTCTCCTCCTGTGGTGCTCCGGCTGGTGCTGCGGAAGGGGGCGTCCATCAGAGCTGCTCTTTCGGGGTGGCTGTGTCGCGGTGATTTTAGAAACAGGCTATTGGCGGCATACTGTGAGTATCTCCGCTACGACCTGCCGGTCCAAGTGAGCATTGCCGTCAAGACCGCCATCCTGCACACACGCGCCCTGACGAGCACAAAACTTCCGGATGGCGTCACTGACATCATCGCGGCCCTCATCGGCGTGAGTAGGGTCTCCATCCCTATCGGCGAGCAGCGCGTCAGTAACCGCATCAACGACCTCGTCAACGGTTATGTGTCCTCAGCCTACGAGTGCATTCGGCAGACCGGTGGCAGCCTGGAGGGGATGGGAGGGCGTCTTGACGACCTGATGCAGCAGGTGCGCGAGGCAACCAAAGTTGAGTGTTGTCGGTTTTGCCCTTGGCCATATATATGAATGAATGAATGAATGAATGGCTTACGGGGACCCAGCCAGGGGCAGGCAAGGAACGATTGTGGTAGGGAGGCTTTCTGTACGTACTTTGTGGCTTGGCATCATGAATGATGGGAACGCGTATTCATGGCTACATCAACGTCTGGCAGGGATGGATCGATGGTTGCTTAATGTGCCTTTTCTTGTATATAGTAGCTAGTGGCAGGTAGAGGCTCACACGTGCGTGTGCATGCGTGTGCACCGAAACGTCGACACACCCATCGCGTGGATGAGATCGGCGTGTGCATCTTGTTGGAGGTTGTTGACTTCGTCCATCAACGAAGGAGATGTTTATGTCGGTCATTGTTGTGATTGTTCGATGTCGATCGTCAGCCTTTTGTCAGTTGACGTCAAGACTGCTTCTCCCTCCCACCCCACCACCACGATGGCCTTCTCCCTGGCGGCCTTCGCGCACAGCAAAGCCGGGAGTGTCTCTCTCCCTTTGTCAGTTAGATGTCGCGTGGCGTCTATCGACAACATAAATGTCAGAAAGAAGCGGCTTGCATCTGCAGGCGCACACCGCTTGTGCGAGACGACAGCAACATTTACAGGGAAGTAGATTTCCATTTCGACGAGAATCGGAGACGGAGACGGCAAAAAGAAAAAGAGAAGCTGTGCGCTTTCGGTTTTCCCCCGCTTTCGCCACAGCCACAGAGAAACGCTCTCTGCCCCTCGCCGTCCAGCCCACAGCCGTGCAAACAATACCCACACGTCTGTCAGCCTCGTTTCGCAACAGCCTGCACCCTGCCGCCGCCAAAACAGAGATAAGTCGGCAGTGAGTGCACTGCACTGCAACCAGCGCAGCGAGTGACTGACGAGCCCGCGACACACGAGGGCGTTCGCCAGCAAAGGAGACGACCAGGGAGGAGAGGCCGCCGCTGACACGCGAGATTGATAAATCGTCAGCTGGTCGGCCCGATGATGCAGTCGATAGCCCCGATACTGGACCTGCCGGGCACGGCCTTAGCGCTCATGCCGATGCATCCGGACTTCGGTAAGCCAGCCAGCCACACACTACTTGCTGTCTGAGTTGGTCCCTCACGGGTTATATGCCATGGTGTTGTGTCTGTTGATATGGTGTGTGTGCCCT